CTCGTTATGGTAATAATTCTGACCAATCCAAAGCTTAAAAAACATTTGTAAAATACTTCCAAAAATTTACAGTTGTACATGCTTGTACTGTCTGAGATAACATACAAATAGTATTCCATACTTTTTTGGTATAAAATTGGCGATTCTCATTTTATAGGAATACGTTTGAGAAAGAGAACTTGTGACAGTCCTTCGCCAAAGAAGGGTAGTGTTGAATGTCCAGGATGCGATTTTCAGGTAAGTTTCAAATATCTCGCGAAAAGAAATATTTCTTCTTTTTTATAGCCTTTCTTGATAGCCGAATAGAAATTGCAGGAATTGATTGATGAGACCGAATGTATTTTAGATTGAAGAATGTAACAATCACAAATGCGCAGAGACGAAAAGATATTCCGGATGGACTCCTTGGTTGACCGTAAACTCTAGTTTACAAAGCGACAGCACAGTTTATTTAGAAAAGCGCTTCCGATTTAGTTGCCGCGCGCAGACGGACGATCCGTCAAGTGTACGAGTGCAGCTCGCTAAAGAAGAGGAACGTTCCTGCAGGAACGATGGGTCTTGTCTCAGAGGAAAAGATACCTATGCGGAGCCCATCAACGAGAATGGCTGGGGGGAATGGTCCCCTTGGGGCTCGTGCGATCGTCCTTGTGGAAAGGGTACCCAGCATAGGGTAAGTATTTCTCGTAGTTTTATCTCGATACTGGCCAAAATAAAATCATATCATTTTATTATAAGCATTTCAACCAAACATTTTCGCTGTTTGATTAAATTATTTATTTAAAGATAAAATAAAATAAAATAAAAATTTATTTAAAACTATAAAATAAAGTTCATTTTATATTATAAAGTATTATGACTGCAAAAGAGTTTTTTTAGTTCTGTGAAATGGAGAACGAATAATTTACCTTAAAGTGATCAAAATATTTTAGTTTTTTAATATATAATACAAAAATATGATTATATATTTTTACAGGTTAGACTATGCGAATCGCCACCTTGCGAAAATGGTCTCGCCACGCAGAGCAGAATTTGTAATTCACACTTATGTCACGGCAATACGGCGGAAGGTCAATGGTCGTGCTGGACGGAGTGGTCCGAATGTTCAACGACTTGCGGCGTCGGAGTGCGTACGAGGACGAGAGAATGTCTCGGTCCAGAGAGTTGCAACGGTCCAAGATTGGACAAGGAGATCTGCGAGATGCCCAGTTGCGAATCATTAGCTGGTTGGGACACGTGGTCGTATTGGACTCCCTGCGACGGCGATCATCAACAGCACAGAAAGCGAACATGTCTTCAGCATGGACCCAGCATGTGTCAAGGACTAACTCGCGAGACACGCGACTGCCTTCCTGCAGACTGTATGGATAGTGGTGAGATTTTGGAACAATTTTACGGCGTCTATAGGATGATATATCTATAAATACGATATTTGTGCTTTTAAACAACAATTTAATTGATTAAAGATTGCTAATCACTGCCTATATTTTTTTTAGACGTAAACGCCTTGCCTTCGAGTGTAGAGAGTTCGGGCGTCACAGTGGGCGCGGCGGTGGGCGGCTGCGTAATCAGTTTCACTATTGGCCTGGCCTTAACCGCGGTGTTATGCTTTTGCTACTTGAAGCGACGCAAGCCGAGCATTCCAGGGAGTCCGCATTATATCAGTAAACAGAATTCTTATGTCATCGTGCCACTGAAGGAAGTAAGGCTCAGAAAAATATATTCAATTGCTAGTTGCACTTGGCAGATACTTCAAAGAAGCTAATTTTTACAGGTGAACGCGAAACGACAACCCAGTTTTTCAGGTAGCACTAATGGAAACGGTACTCTACGTAGCAAAAACAATCCCAATGTCAACGGCCTCGGCAGTCCCAAGTTATATCCAAAGAGTCTCGATTATGAATCCGCCACTCTGAAGCGTAACAGTCATGGCCAGCAACACATCCGTGCCGATCTCGATCAGGACAAATACTACTGAACGAATTACCTGAGCAAAGTTGCGTATCAGCGTCGTTTGGATGGTGATTTGTATTCTGGTCTTTTCAAGCACATGATTTCTCGTGTGATTTATTTGTGCGGTGAGTCGCAGGTACCGACAACAAACGCGAACTCATTCCACGCATTTGGCAGCTGCAAACTTTGTTGATCGATTAGCGTTTGTTCAACGTTAAAGTAACAAATGTGAAGGCAGACTTCCTGTTACAAGAAGAATGTATTTACTTAATTGAGCTAAGGCGACATCTTCGACGTAAAAATGACATACGATCGATTGAACAAACGCCTGTCTACAAGACTATATGTTTTTAGTATTAAGTAAACGCGCGATGTATGCATTTTCCGCGTTCGAGAGTTAACGACGCTGCGATTAACGACGCAAATTAGTTCACGAAATTGTTTAATATCGATTGATGAAAATTGATGTATGAAAGAGACATGACGACATTTTTTTTTATAAATCTTTATATTTTAAGATATGTATTTTGTAAGCTTTTTGTGATGCGTCGTGCAATGTGATAACTCAGCGGACTCCGAAGAGAAAACCGTTGTTTTGAGAAAGGTTATAAAAGTTTATTTTTGTTTCTATGTACATATCCGTGAAAAGAGAGAAAGAGAGAGAGAGAGAAAGAGAGAGAGAAAATGGGAATGGACGAAATCGAGAATCAATCCCGCTCACGCTTGGGCATTCGACTTTGACTCATCTGTATAAAGTTTCATAATTTTTCATAGCAATGAATTTTCATATATTTTGCGTATCATAATATTTGTAAGATTGTACTCATGCAAGGTAACAAGAGAGAAAAGAAAATATCTGTTAACACTCGATCTACCAAGGATTGATGGATTGATTTAGATTTAGATATGCAGTTGTACAAATATAAAATGTATTATGTAGGTTTGCTTGAAGATATATTAGGAAGAGAATTCGTCTCTTTTGTTTTTATTCAAGAGAAATATCGAAGTTTATATCGAATAATGTAGTGCCATGATACGGAGTTGTACATAAAAATGCATCTTCTTAAACATAGTGTTAGGAATGAAGCAAATGCGTATATTGTGTAAGAGATGAACACACGTCGCGCGACGATTGCATTTATATTGGCTCACATTGAGTCGCGCCCGCGAATTATGTTTATGCATGCGACTGTAAAAATAATACATTTTTTCCTTGCCGGATCCAAGGAGAGAATCAAATTGGATTGAAACTCTTGAATCGCTGATGTCCTCCAGGGGTTCGATTCTCTAATCACTTGTAAGAAAAACGTATGCATAAAAGTTACGAACGTTTGGAAACCTTTGTTATTTTATATAATATATACACATATATAGATACCTATATCTATACCTATACAGATATCTACGTTATGTATATGTATAGTTATGAGTAAGTTAGAGAATCGAGCCTTAGAACTTAAGAATTGAATTATGTTAATTGCCTCCTACGCGAGTTTATACAATCCATCATGAGAAGAATGCGAGATAATGATACTGAGTAGTATTACCGTATCTGAATCACAAGAAAAGAGTACATATTATGTACACTTTTTTTAAAAAAAAAAGATGATCCAAAAGGAGAAGGTACAATTTTTTATGCATTAAATGTAGATATTTAAGAAAATAAAATTCCTAAAACATTTTTATTGATTTTTATTAATATAATTTTATAAATATAAAATTTTAATAAATGATCAGAAATTTCACTTAAAAGAGTACATAAATATATGTACTCTCAAAAATAGTAACCCTATATGTGAGCTAACGACATAACAACGAATAATTTGATGTTGCCGAGCGTCAAGTAAATTATGATTATCAAAGTTACATTTACGCGTTACATAATAACTACTGTATCCGCTGCATTTATTTCGCGCATTTGTAATAACGACAAGATTCTTTTTTTACAACTCCGTATAAGTACTTAAAATACTAATTTCTCCATATAAGATAACAACAAATATTTTTAATATTATAAAAGAACTTGGACAGAGAGGCATTTTCCTACAAATTAATCGCAGCTTTTTGTATCTCATTAATAACATAATCCATGGACGATTTTGTGGGTGGTGGTTGACAGCTTACGACCATGCGAAAAAAATTGCCAATCTCCTTGTGTGGTAATGGCATATAACTTATCATAAGAGATCCCTCCAGAATCAAATTTTTCTTTATTTCGCTTGTGATAAAGTACAGTTTTTCCCACCAATGTGAAGTTTCATTCTCATCGCGCATTGTTGGTGGTATATACCTGAAAAGAATTTGCCTTATAACTGCGTATTTCTCGCTATCTTTTGATAATCTCTTATCAAAGCGGAATCTCTTACCAAAAACAAATGTTGCAACACTGATAATGAGATTGCACCAGTCGGAAACCGGCAGTTTCCTTAATTCGCTGCAGAAAATATTCCGCACAGGACATCGCTTGTTCCACCGATTGCGTAAGACCAATCTTACCGTGAGCTTTCCACATTAACCAAAATTTCATTGCGTCAACCTTAAAAAGTATTATCAAACAAATTAAAACGAATAGTTAATGACATAAAAATTATGTTCTATTTTTACGTGTCTTTCCTACAGATTTTTTAAACAAAAATCTTGGATTTTTCTATAATTCACGAATTATTGTGAATAAATTCCGACGTGATATCTTATAAAAATTAAATAATGGATTACCTTCCTGCCGCATTGCACGCTTTTGTCGCCTGTGTCCCAACTAACGTCGTAAAATTTATCCTGCTGGAAAAGATACTTGGCTTGGGCACAATTTGCCTCATATAGCGTATTTTTACCTTTGACCAGGAATAAAGAACACTGCAACGGCGCTCCGAGCATCTTGTGCAGATTCCAGGATACCGAATCCGATCTGAGCCAGTCATAAAACAGAGAGAATTGATTAGAAAAACTGTTTGTGTCAGGAAATCATTTTTGGTCTTTAACGTTGCAGAAAGGAAAGTATTTATCTTATCTCATTCTTCCAGATTCTACACAGAAATTTAACGTTTTGCCTGAACATCCTAACACGAATCGATCGTTTGAAAATAAATCACGCAGACAATAATTATATACTCAAGACTGGTACGCGAACCAATGATGGACTTTCAATTTTAGAAAGGTCGCCACTTTCCTTCCGCAGCGACATTATAATAAATAATTATATACGAACAGTTCGATGCCCCGTAATCTGTATCGATATTTCTCTGAGAACAGTAGGGTTCCACCGAGACATGCCTGTAACGAATCTCTGTTTAAATTACGATTCTCCGAGCTCTAATCGGCTTTCATTATACTTGTACTGACGTCTACGTGCAGCCAGAGTGACTCGCTCCGGCATACTGCGGCGATTTCCGGTAATGGATCGATGGCACCGAGCACAGTGGTTCCGGCAGTGGCATTTACAAAGAACGGTTGTTTTCCATCGTTTCTCGCCTTTATTAGAAGTCTCTTTAGGTCAGCCACTTTCATACGACCAAACTCGTCCGTTTTCACCTATAACGGAAGAACGTTCTCTCGTATAATTAATTATTATGATTATTATCTTAAAAATCCGGTTAGAATTCAGTTGTTTTCAAAGATTAAAGAATCTTTTTTAGTATTTGCTAAACATAATCTAAAACTTAAAAAGGTATAAAAAGGACTAAGAGCCAAAGCTAGTTGTCAATTGCTACAGTTTAATAATTCTTATACATTGAAACTTATACATTCAAGCAGACGTAATTTATAAATATAAACAATATTTCATAAATATAATAAATATTGTAGAAGACAAAGTTTTATAAATATACGAAATATTTTATACTGCAACTACAAAAATAGTGTATACTACAACTGAACGCAAGATGAAATTCTTAATTTTTTGAAGTCTACCTTAAGTGTGTTTAACTTAACATTGTTATTGATTTAATCAATAACATATAATTGCATAATGGCATGAAATCTGATTCATATAAAATATATAAAATTCAACAACTAATTATCAATTAAAATAAGAATTAATTATTATTTCTTCAAATTTCGGTTTTTTTACCTTGAAAGAAAATTAAAATATAGCGAAAATTTCTTTAAATAAATAGCCATTTTTCACGTTGTCATACCTTATAAACCTGGTCGATACCAAGACCCAACCAATTAGCACCTTTCAGAATTGAATAATGACTGTCTTCGCTAGTGAAACACGCTAGAGGTAATTCCAACGAAAAGAGCCCCGAATTTTTGGCACTCGGTAATATCTTGTGCCTGGCCAATAACATTCCATACATATTCGATATGCTACCACCTGGACACATTATACCATCGGCTTCTGGCATCAACGGATAGCCAACCAATTCCAGTGATTTCTGTATCACTTCTCGTTCCATGAGAGTAAATATGGGCGCGACTTCGTAGGTATACCTAACAAAAACGTCCACAATCAATTAACAGTTACTCGTATTTCACTTCATTTAGATGCGCACAGCATCATTTACAACATAAAGGACATTCTCCTGAAGATAATTTATCGAAGAGAAGTTAACTTTCATTTTTTTAACAAAACTAAAACTTCCTCGACGATGATAAGAACTCCAAAACATCATTAATTGGAAATATCGTAGGTCGTGCATCGTCTGAAACGCAAATTAGATTAGCAATATCTGACGCTCACGAGACGATAACAAAATAGCTTTGATTACTCATTGCGTTTTATCGAGAAAGATGAATAGAATTACATCCAACGAGCATGGAGAATACATTGTTTATTATTTTAAAAATTGTCTCTCTATTTGTGTCTCAATATTTATCTCTTAAAATTTGGGAATTATTCTTACTGGCTGGTGTTCAACACGTCCGTTAACCAGGAACCAATTAATCCATATTCGTCAATTCCAGCGTAGAGTTGATTATGAAAATGCGGATTAGACGTTTTCGCGGAGAACTGTATAGTCTGTCGTATCACTGTTTCTAATTCGGAGTTACTCGCTGGCTCGTCGTCCAAAGATATTGACATGATTTTCTATAAATAAAAAATAATTTTTCCTCATAAAATTAACACTGCTAAGCTTTAAACAAATTGTAGTTTACGTCATAAAATATAATTGCTAATGATAATACAAGTTATTCATTCACATTTGTTCACACTTGCTCGCTTGATTTGGGTCAAATTTATAATTAATACAAAAAACATAAAAAATCATAATACACACACACACACATACACACACACATTTTTACGATATCATAATGGCTGCGTTTTGTTACTCATTGTAAGTACTGAATTATATAATTATAGTTATATAATTCAGTACTCACAATAATATAGTTATATAATACAGTATTCACAATAATTATAATTGTATAATTATGTAATTATAGTATACATAATTCACATATTTTCAGTGTTTACAGTGAATAAGGAAACGTGGCCATAAATACGAAGCGAGCAACACTACTAGAGTTCTTTCACAATGCACGTGTTGAATCGATTTAAAATTTTTGAAAAACAGCATTGGATATAGATAGATATATGTTTGTTGATTAATTTAATTCCTGCTGCTCGATATTAGAAGGTGTCGGATTCAACGCTAGCGAGTTTTGACGGTGAAATTGCATGTCTTTTATACTTCAGACATTGCCGAAAGTGATTCAATTCTCAAGTAGATTAGATTTTTCGACACCAAAGAGATTTTCCAATTGATTGAAAATAAACCGCGATGGACTGTTTTTTCGACATGTGCTTGTTCACTACTTCGATCTCAAGAAAATTGCAGTTAAAACGCAATATTTATTATCTGAAGTATAGTGATAAAATTCTATCGAAAAGAATATATAGAGTTTGGTTTAAACGTTTTCGAAATGATGATTTTGACAAAGAACGTCCCTTGCTCTGCATTTGATGATACCAGGAGAGTGTGCTGTATTACGAGCACTTGCATCCAGATGAAACCGATCAGCTGATCGCTGCCAACAATAATTGTGCCAATTGAGTGACAAGTTGATGAAAAGAAGATCATCCGCAGCCAACAATCGATGCAAAGTCATTTTTTTGCACGATAACACTCGATCGCATGTTGCGGAAAGCGTGAAGCAGCACTTCTAGAGCTTGAATGGGAAGTCCTTCCGCATCCAGCGTACTCTCCAAACTTGGCACGTCGGATTACCATCTTTTCCGATGCAACACGCCCTTTACCGACATACACTTCTCCGTTAGAAGTCTAAAAATGGATGAATGGATTGCCTCGAAAAATATCATATGTCGTGGGATTGCCCTGTTGCCAGAGAGGTAGGAAGTAATAGAAAATAGAGGAAATTACTTTGGTTAAGATATTCATTCATCTTCCCTTCGAAACAAATCAATTTTCGAGACGAAAAAATGGCAGAAATTAAATTAACCATCTAATACATCTGACATTACTCCAAGCATCTTGTAACCTTGCACGCGTATTTTGTTTCTTTAAAAACTGCAGTTTTCAAGAAATTTTATATTAAATAATGTTTAAATACGATACATGCAAGTGTTTATATACTAAAAGTGTTTATAACAGCAGGTAAATTCATTTCTGTGTCAATATGTATCACGTTTATCCTTTACAGAGAAATCAAAGTAATCAAAGAAATCAGTATCGTTATTTCTTGTTATTTTGACGTCAAAAGGATATTAAAGATGTCACCTTGATGTTAAACTGATGACAAATAATGACAGCCTGCTATCTAAGAATTTTGGAGAGTATTAAAATTGTAATGAGTGGTATGTGTGTGTATCAAAATATATAAATAAATCAAAAGATGAAAAATACGAATTTATAAACTCGTTAATTTGTATTTTAAAATGTTTCTTATTTTATACTATCCCTATTTACAAGGAAATTTCCTGAAAGAATATATTATCATAGTATGTCAAAGTTTCTTGAAAAAAAAAGTGATAATTTGTCTGGTGAAGATTCCAATTACACGATTAGAGCTGCAAACATTGACCCCATACTTATATCACAAACTTCTGCGTATTGTATTAATATTCCATGAGGAGGTATTTCTTTGTGTACCATGGAATATCTTCTCTTGCCAGAATCCTATTACTGTGTACGTGCGCTACATCAGAAATCATTGAAGCATTTAAGTTAGATGTACGATAAAAATGAAGCAAATATTTATTATAATATTTTATGATATAATTGCACTTATGGCATTATTATTTTTTAATGAATTTTAATGTTATACTGACGGTTTTTATTACGCACTTGATTATATTAATCTTGCTGAAGTGATTAAGAACAATCTTCAAACAAGATAACACTTCGTTCAAGAGCGAAAGGAGAGAGAAATGTAAGAAAAGAATGTTTAAAAACAAACAGAGAAGTATTTCTAAAGCAATTAAGCAATTAAATTTAGCAATTAAGAAATACGATAAAGCGGACAATCTTTTTATAATTGATGTGCGAATTGCGATGTTATTCCTAGAGGAACAAAAATATTATCGATCTTGTTATAGCTGGCATAATAAAACTTTGTTTAATTAGTTTATTGAGAAAAGAAGAAGTTCAAGTTAAATCTAAATATTGATATTTATATGTATAATTATTAACTTTATACATTGTTTAATATTAGTTTTAATAATTTATTAGTAAATTATAAGAGTTTTGCTTATATGAATTAAAAATTGTAAAATTCACATCAAAATATTATTAGATACCAAAACTTTTTTCAGTCCAAGATTGGGAAATGTTATTTTCTGTTACTTTATTATTACCTTTAATAATAAACAATTTGATAATGACGTTGCAATTTTTTATGATGGTAACACTAACTAAACGCTAAGGTTGTGCTAAGATTAAAAAAGTCACTTCAAAAAGTAACTTGTCACAAGTAATAAATAACAATTATGCGTTATTTAGTGAAAAAAAAAACAAGTAATAAGTAACAAGTAACGCGTAATGTTACTGGTTATTCAAATAATTTTTTCCAAATGATTTTTTTCAACCCGTTAAAAATGACTTTTCCAATTCTGGTGTTACCATTATCATCATAAAAAATTCGCAATGTGTCATTACCAAATCATTATTATGACAAGATATCGATCGACAAAGTAACAAGGTTACAAGAAATGCGTTACTTCTCTCTTCACTTATTAATGTTTAACATTTTTCAGTCGATTTTCTTAATAAACTATATAAACAATCTCTTTGAGATAAACGATATTGTTAATCCCTATTTATTAATTGAAAGAGAAAAATAATAGAAATATATTATGTGATATAAAATTATAATTTAGCATAAAATATGGAAAATGTAGTATTACGATCGAAGTAAATTGAAGACGTAAAATAGTTTAAAAAAAAATATTTGTAAAAATCATAATAACAGGCTAATATATTCGAGATTTTTACACGACAGCTAGTCCAGAAAATTGAACTGTTATTTACCTGTAAATATTGAGGATGACGGAATTGTATCACAGGTTGATTTCCAAATTGATTGAACGCATTCTCCTCTTTAAGGATCTTCAAGAATTTCTCTAATAGATCGATGAAGTTGTTGGTACTTGATGCAGCCATCGCGAATAGTATACTGACCGACCAACCGACAAATCTATCGGCACGCTTGTTTGGCCCCTTCCATTTCAACTACCACCAGTGAATCGCTCTTTGTCGTTGAAAACACGTTGTACATACGTGAACGTACGTGAACCTTGACGATTCCATCATGTTGCTACAGAATTCGCGTGCCAATTACGCATAAAGTTCATCTCTCCGTTACGCTCGAGTTGGTTCTTGAACTTTGCCTTTTCGCAAATCATAAAAAAATACAACATTATTGATGTAGATATTTCGAATAATTTAAGCGCAATTAGAACATCTTGTATATTCGGACTATATATTGATTTGAATATCGATATTGAATAATATTATTATTATTATATTCGCAGCTTCTAATTGAAATTTTATTCAATTAAACCTCATTTTATACACTTTAAAAAATATCGGTGTGGATTTAACTCTGATGAGGATTTAATACCCAAGAGATGTCTATATAATTCTCACTGATGTTAATACTAATAACAATATAATATGGATTTAAACCTATAATGTTAAATCCATATTAGATTTGTGATAATATTAATGCCGACTATATACAGTGAGAATTATACAGGCACCGCTATTATTTAGAATGTACTATAACCATAGATAATTGTAACACAAAAATTTGTTTTTATCTTAGAAAAAAAGTATGCAATTAATATATTATTTTTTTTATTTTGCCGTGTAATACTAAATTCCATCTATGTATAGCATTAAATACTTTACAATTCTATGTAGTTTAAAAATATAGGAAATTAATCTCTTGGGAAACAATAGAAAAAAAAACACATTCTTCGAATTAAGTTGTTACAATTAAATGTTTTCAGAATTGTGGCTTTATGGAATATTTCTCTCTCTTCTTTATGTCCCATTTTATGTTATGATATTATAAGCATTGCAAGTTATATTATCACACACAATGCGCAATTGTAAAGAAATATTGACACATATCTTTTTCCTGATAACGGAAAGAAAACGAAGCATAATCAAGTGTAAAGAGACATTTTATGACGCGTCCTATTATTCTTAACAAAAAAAATATTCGTATCTAATATTTTATGGACGTTATGTAATATTCATCTTCTAAGAGAAATTAGAGCAAGCTGTAATTTAACTCGGGAAAAACTTTTGTTTTTAACAAAATAGAATATATAAAAATTTGTTTCTGTTTGTCTATATATAAAACTAAGAACTTCTAGGGCAAACACTAAAAAAAATGTTCTACTAATAATATTTAAACCGAAGTAATGTACATCATTACAAAACAGATACTTCTAACCAGAAGAATCTTCTAAAAATTAGGAGAATTGCATTATTAAATCCAGCTTCTTATCCAGCATCTTACAAGTACAATAGTTACACGATATTGTTTTGTCTTTTAGAGTTTCTTTTTAAGACTATATCAGTGGAAAATTCTCTAAAGTATTTCGAATTTAATAAGAAATATTAAATAATAATCACTACGCGGATATATTGTCTGTATAGATATAATCCCGGTCACAATCAGAAAGATAAGATTAAAGAATAAAAGATAAGATAAGATTAAAGATAAGATTAAATTAAAGATAAGATAAGAAAGATAAGATTAAAGATATAATCCGGGTCACAAATGGAGGGATCGTGCTCAGGGACGGGAACACTGGCGGGATTTGGTATTTGCGGCAATGAGCTTTCGAGTTCCTAACGCCTAATAATAATAATAATAATAATAGATATAATCCCGACAAACATGTGCTGTAGCTGGAGATAAAACAAATCTTTTACACTCTCCTTTGAAAAGTTAACTTTACATTATTTAATACATAGTCCACAAATTCAATAATTAATAAACTTTTAGTAAAAAAATCCAAAAACTGTGATTAGTATAACAAATATTATATAATCAGATGCAATTTCTATTTTGATTTTATCCTGACAAAAATATAACACGTATTTTAAAATCAATATTTATTACTACTTTTCTCGAAAATATTGTTAGTAAGATTGATTCATATATTGTTTGCACGTTAAATTATCCATATAATATTCAAAAACTAAAGGATCAATAAACAAAATAGTAATGCCGTGTAAACGTTCTCAGTGTTGATACCCAACCAATGAGCAGCTGTCCTAATGAAATAATCACCACACTCACTAGTAAGACACACTAAAGGTACATTTCCATATAATCCCTTTGTCTTGACTTGATCTAGGACTTTTTTCCTAGCAAGCATCATTGTATTATTACATAATCAATATGTTGCCGCCCAGCGTCAATATACCTTCACCACGAATTGGATGGCTCATCAGCTTCAATGACGCCTGTATCACCTACTTTTTCATTAACGTAAATACGGGAGCATTTTCATAAATATCTCTAACAATAAGAAAAATGATTAGGGACCGTTACTTAATCTGTAACTTACTTAAATATTCAAACAGAACAAAAATGTAACATTAAAATGGCATCAAAATTACTCTAAAATAATTATATTATAAAAAGTCATTTTTTGAACAGTCACAATTCATTTTAATGTTTGATATTATGATCTATTACTTTGTCTGAAATAATTTTAAAAAGACAAATTCTTCAAGTTACTCCTGAAATCATTTTTAAAAAATGTTTTTTGATAAAACCAAAAACTTTTCCATTTTTAAATCTTTAATACGCATTAATTGAAACTGTAAGGTCATCTTCTTGGTTACAAATTGTTAGCGGTATTATCTGTAGCTTGCGAAATGATAACAAAACTTTGATTAATAATCACATATTTCTTCGAAAAAAAAAAGAAGATACAAAGCATTACGTTTCTCGATCAGAATAGATCTAATATCGATATTTTTTTCTTTTTGAAAGCCTTATTCATTTACAAATTATTCATTTATAAATTTATGATTAACTTCACAAAACCATTTCCAAAAATGTAGAAAATTGGACAACTTCCATATCACGTTGGAACTACCAGTTCTCGTCTGATCACTGAAGTCAAGCAACGTTGAGCACGGTTAGTACTTGGATGGGTGACCGCTTGGGAACACCGTGTGATGTTGTCCCTCTCTTTTTTTTTATTTTTTTGCTCTATATTAAAAGTAAATTTGTAAAGAAAACCAACGAGATACTATTAAGGATTGAATTTTTTTTTCAATCCTTAATAGTATCTCGTTGGTTTTCTTTATAAATTTACTTTTAATATAGAGCAAAAAAATAAAAAAAAAGAGAGGGACAACATCACACGGTGTTCCCAAGCGGTCACCCATCCAAGTACTAACCGTGCTCAACGTTGCTTGACTTCAGTGATCAGACGAGAACTGGTAGTTCCAACGTGATATGGAAGTTGTC